CTGGAAGGGGGTGGTGGGTATGGGAAGTGGGGGACATCACCACTGACTTACAACAGGAAGAAGAAACTCAGAGAGGGAGTACCTGGGGATAGGCAGCTGGGAGCTTCAATGAAAACACAGAGGGGCTGAAGGACCAGAGGGATGGCCAGGATCAAACCAACCCTGCCGTCTTACTGAATTTGTAGAGAAGGGCCCGTCTCCACCGGCAACACCAGCATAGATATGAAGGGGTGACGTAGGGAATGAAAAAGTGGAGTCCTATTCTCAAGTAGAGATAATTTCACCCCTTAAGGTGCAACTTAGAAAATGGGGTGAGCACTGTGGGTTGTCCCAGAGAGCAGGGATTGCTCTTGGCATTTTGGGCAAGGGTAGAAAGTGAAATATCTGTGCCGAGTAGGGAAATCCTGTCTACTGAAAAACTGCAACTCGGAAGGCCAACAATGGGAGAATAACAGAACCTAAAAGGGAGGAGCATAGTTTAGGATAAGCATTAAGAACAAATGGAGAATTTGCCACCGCCACCCCGCCTCCCTCATACCTCTCTGGTCATGGGGAACATAGCCCAAGGCAGTCAGGGAGGGAGGTAGAAGGACCAGGAGAGGAATTGGAGTTGCCTGTCTCCAAAGCAGAATATATGGGGAAATGAAATGCAATATGGGGGAAAGGAAAAAGGAGACACACGTGAGAGGAAAGGCACGGCAGGACACAGAGCAGACAATGAGCACTGGCCACGCAGGAGGATCTGGAAGGCAAGGCCCAGCTTCCTTGGGGTTGAGAAGGGCGGCCGATTCCCGCCAGGACGGAGATGAACCCGCAGAGGAAGCCGTGGGGGGGCGGGGCGGGGGCAGGCACCTCCTAATGAAAACAATTCTGCGCCCTTAATTATAGCATTCTCCGACCTTAAACGATAGCTGTGCCACAACTTTAAATATAGCATTCGCTCCTGGGAAGACTTCAAGATCTTTTTTTTTCCCTGTCCAATTGGCTGTTTGGAAAACCCACTCTGTGAACTGGGCTGAAGATAATCATCAAAATGTGTTCCTTGAAGAGCCCAAAGAAAGACTTCTTATTCCATTCCTCGAATCTCTCCCTCTGGCTGACTGGGATGGAAGAAAGAAGTTTGAGACAGGCAGAGGATGAATCAACTCCACATTTTTTTTTGGTTAACCAAAAGAAAGCCAGCATCAGCAACTACCGTGGAGTTAGTGGTTGGTAAGCAGGTCCTGGCTCTTTCCATCCCCAGAGGAAGAAGTGACCGGAGATCAACCCCCAAGGGAGTCAGCAGCCACCAGAGCCAAGACACGCACCTCCAGTCCACTGTTCACATGGCCCTGTGGCAGCAAAGGCCTTTCTCCTTTGTTCCTTCTGGTGATCAAGTAGGAGATTATGACCCAAGGTACACGGGGAACAGAGGCCCTTTCACATCGCCAGTCCTTGCTTGCTACTTTGTGGGTCTGGCTTGCAGAACTGGCCTTCAAAAGCTGTGTGATCCCCTCCCCTCCCAGGCACCCTGCCTGTGACTTGGGCAGCAAGGGCTACATGGGTAGTGGAGCCTGGCTGTGCCTTTGCTATGTGCTTCACGAAGTGGGCTTCTTTATCACCAGGACCAGGAGACCCGTCCTCCCACAGCTCTGACTCTGTGGGGCCTCCAGTCAGGGGACACACATGACTGCCTTGTAGAACCTCAGATAGTTTGGCTGTTTTGGTTCCCAGAGCAGCAGGCTGTCCCAGATAGGACCCACAGAGGGGTGTTAGAAAAGTGGGTAGGAACACCGTATCTTCTGCCCTCTCCCCAGCCCTTCTTGTTCTTGATCCTGAAATAAGCAAAATGACAAAGAGGAACAGAGAAAGGGAGAGGAAGGAGAGGGGAAAAAGGGAAGGGAAAGGAAGGGGAACTCTCTGTCCCACACCTTCGGCCTGTTATGACACAACACTTCCACTATTCCAACAGCCCAGCCCCCATATGCTTTATACCTGGTGCCCCATAACTTTCACCCTAACCAAAGCCCTAAATGTTGTGTGATGTTGGTGCGAGACCCGGATAAGAACCAGAGCCTTGTCTCAGAGGGCCAGGGAAATAGAGGTCAGATGCTAAGGAGCAACAACCACAAAAATTTAAAACTTTCTCCTCTCCCCCTTCTTTTTACCTCTTTAGCTCTAGAAGAGTGTCTGCCCGTACAGCAGAGGGGAGGCTGGCGGAGACTCTCTTGTTCACTCCAACCCTCGCATGTTCTTGTCTCCTCTGGGCGCTGATTTTGACTCTGCTGCGTTGAACCTTTGCAAACTTGGGGTATCCACATGCCCTAAGAATAAACCAGATTTAACCCTTAAAAGTCATTAACCTTTTTTTTTTAAATTAAAGTGAGCTCATAATTAATACAGCAGACACTGCTAGTTAACTCAAAGATGCAGGCCAGAGGATCTGCAGGCCACCCTTAGTGAGCACCGCCATGGATCAGTGGTGGAGCTGCGGTGGAGCTTCGGGACTGAGGGCGGTGACAGATTGCCGGAAGGTGTGACAGATAAACAGACATCACCCACTGTTCACCTTAATCGTGCATTCCCTCTGGTTCTCTATCCAACTTCCAGCTTTGCTAGGTTAGAAGTAAAATAAAACAATAAAAACAAGATAACAGTGGAGAGGTCCTGTCCGAGTCTGTAGCCTTGAGGGCTGGATCTGCAGCACTGCGGACTGTGTGTGCGCATGTGCATCTTGTTTGGGACCTCCAGTGTGGGCGCTCTTCACTTTCCAGAGTCTCTGTAACACGACAAGCGTGGAGTCCCCAGACTGTGTTTGTGCAAAAACAGGGCAGAAAGCTGGTGCATCCCACGCTAAGTCCTATGGCCCAGAAGGTGGGGGAGGGCGAGGGGGAGATGGGGAGGTGGAAGAAACGGCTTCTCCCGTCTCTGCTGATCTTGCCTGGCCCAGAGCAAGGCAGGGGAATCCAAGTTGGTATCCAAGCACTCCTCTGACCTAGCGACCAGCTTTTCTCATTCTTTATGCCTTTGTGTTCATTCTCTGGGCGGAATGATCTTGATGCCATGTGAACATGCTTGCCAAGGGCTTGGCTAGTGAGAGCTTCACAAATGCTTTGGATTATGTTCGCATTAAAATGAACAGGGCTAACGCGGTGGATTGCTGTGGCATTCCAGACATAGGTGAATCAAGAGTCCCCGAGGTCTGGGGCTGAGCACTGGAGAACAGGAAATCCAGGCTCAGCAAGGGGAGAAGCCCCCTCTAGGGATCAGGAGGCCATGAGATGCGGAGCTAGAAGGCCTGGTGGGAAGATGGCCAAACACTGATGAGCCCTTCCATCCCCTTCCCCCAGTCTAGAGAGGCCTGTGCTGGGGCTGTCATTTCCCTTCCCCTGGGCCACGCCTGGCAGTACCGGAAAGCTGTCATTATTAATTCCCACTAGCTGAGGACGGGCAATTTAAGGGCCTCTCACTGGAGGGGCAAGATTATGACAGAGCTCTGGGAAGAGGTGTTTGCTGAAGGGCTGCTCAGCCTCGCTTGACTTAAATCATCTCAGATTCCCTCAAAGACTGTAAACAATGAAGTGATGAAATTGCTTTGGAGCCAGAGCAGGGAGGAGTCCCCCCACTAGAGGGGAGCACCACCAGGGGGTGTGGGGAAATAAAGCCAGAGTAGGGAGGGGCAGAAGAGTTCCTCCCCCAGGGGGCCCATTATGGGGAAGATCTGACAGGCCACAGCCTCTTCCAGCCCAACTTGTGGGGGAAAGTCAGAGCCCTGGCTAGCTGGTGAGTTTGGGTGAGACGAGCACAGGAAGTCAGGAATTCCAGCTCTCTGGGCTCATGGGAAAGAGATTCTTCTTCCATAACCACTGCAGCAAAGCTGTTCTTGTAAACTGCTGGCACACGCACCACGGGATCACAGCCCAAGTCACAACGCAAAGCTGCAGTGGGTGATTGCATAGGATTTGTGTTAAGAGACGAGTTCGTTGTACTTAGGATTCGTATCCCTCCTTCCTCCCCCCACTCTCCCAGCCCTCTGTGGAGTACGCACTTACACACTCACACCTGTGTGTTCGCACACAAACAGCTGGGATACAGGTGTATGCCAGCACACTTGGATTTGTCTTGTGACAACTTTGCTTACGGTGGGTTTTTTAACCATGCCAACAACAAAAAAATATTTTCATGTGTTTAGATATATTGATTTCGATTGCCTTTGATTTGGAGGCCTCGTTTAAATCTCTCTTCCATAGATCTCTCCCCAACAATTTAGAACTCATCATCAGCTTTCTTCTCCCTTCCTAGAACAAAAGCCCTTTGGGCTCATTGAAGACCATCTGTCATTTTTCAGACATCTCCTTGGGGGTTCTGTTTATTCGGCCTACTTTAGGCACCTTCCTTCTGTTCTTTGTAAAAGGCCAGATCTTCCTGAGGGGAGGAGATGAGGGCCTGGGGAAGGAAAACAATTTCCTAAGTCAGAACACATCGCTTAGGTCCATTTTAAGGACCACAAGATCCTAGGGCAGTACTGCCTCGGCCTCCCCTAGGAGCCCTCCCACCCGCGTTCCCGCACGCTGGCGGGGCCTGGGGGAGGGGTGTGACGCAGAGCTCTGTCTCCTCCTGTGTCCTCGGACCTCCATCCTCTCCACACCTCCACTGGGCCACATTCAACCTCATCCCCGAAGCAGAGCACCCCACTTCCATTACCGTGTGTACTGAGTCAGATCAACCAGCTCTTTAGAAAGCTGGATCTGAGCAAGATGCGGGTAGGAGAGGGGGGGTGCCGGCTCCATGTTTCTCAGCTCATGGGACGTGGGAAGATCTCGCCAGAGGAGCGAGGCCTTGCCGTCTTACCTCTGTTCTTTTCTGACTTACCTCAGGTCTGCAGGAGCTCGGGTACGCTGGGTTGGATCCGGTGGGGAGGCTCGGGCTTGGGGACTGGTACCGAATGGGCGGCTGGGGAGGGCTGTGTTTGTGTGGGTCTGTCCAGCCCAGGTCTAACGGCCTGATTCCTTCACAGTGCGGTCTGTTGGCAGTGACGGGGATGCGTTGTACATTACAGAAGAGGAGCTGGCGGGGGAAGACGAAGACATGTCCTCCTTCCCATGCGCCCCGGAGGGTAAGGGCTCCAGGGGTGCCCCCTCTCCTCTCTGGGAATGAAAGTCCCCTGCTCTCTCCTCCAGACTCATAAGCCACCTATCTCGCTCTAGGGCTCCAAAATCCTGACTCTCCTTTCCTGAGGCTTCCTGGTGTGTGGAGGGAGGAGCGTGCAGCCCTGGGCTGTATGGTGTCCAGGAAGCCAGCAGCGGACATGCGTGCTGTTTGTCTTCAGGGCTTCTCCTCAGCCCCAATCAAGGGTCTCTGTTCTCTCCCCTGGCAGACACCCTGTGCACAGGGCCTGTGTTCTAATCGATTCCCGATTGTCCCCTTCATTGCCTTCCATGCCACCTGACCTGCATTTGGACTAGTGGCTTTTGCTGTCCACCTTGGCTGTCCATTGAAATCACCCAGTGGTCCCTGAGAAATGTGAATTCCTTTTTGTCTGGAGTGCAAACTGGGCACCAGGTTTTTCACCACGTCCAGTCGTTGAACCTGTACAATTGAAGTGGAGCTCACCTTGGGGATTTTAGACAAGGTCATAATTGAAGGATCCCACACATCCATCCCAGGGAACCATGCAGGGGCAGGCAGGCACAGGAGAAAGCTGATTATAAGGTTTATTAGAGGAGCCATACTCCCCCCGAGAGGGAGCACATGGCCTCCGTCCCCATCCAGGTAGGAGCAGGGTCTGGGAGATAGGAAGTGAGGTAGATGGGAGTTCAGGTGGGTCTGGGCGGAGAGAGGGAGGGGCCAGGTGTATGGCAGGAGCTCCAGGAATGGGAGGGGGCCCAGGTCTGGGTGGAGCTGAGGACCAAAGGTGAGCATAATACTAATAATCATTGCATCCTATTGGGCATGAGCCATCCTACCAGAGTTTCCAGGGGCTCCTGGCCTCCATCCTCCTCCGCACCAGTGACTTGACTGGCAGAGTGTAATCATTTTGTTTGGTTTCCAGAACGACTGGATACTTGCCCAGTTTGGGGACTGGTGACCAATCTTCTGGTCAGCCTGGGGTTCAGGGGTTTTCATTTTCAGGAGATTTCACTTCAAAACTGAGACAAGCTATAAAAGACCCTAGATGGTCCTTGCTAAGGAATTTCTAGGGCAGGGGAGTCTCAGTCCTAAAACCTAGAAGGCTTTGGACAAACTGGGATGAGCTGGTCAATCAATGGGGCAACAAGACTGCCCGTGTCACGGGTCATCAATGGACCAGTGCAAAGGACAGAGAGGTGTTTGCTCATCTCGCGGGGTAGATGAAGACACCAGAGAGAAAGATGATGGTGATGGAGATATCTCTTCAAGACCTTGCCTTGGGCTCTTCTACTAGAGCATAGAGTCTCAAGAGTCTTGAGTATCTGAGTAGAGAAGGAGGAGGGAGAACTCCCTTCCTTAGGAGCCCGATTTGAAATGTGATGATGAAGTAGGACAAAGAAGGAAAATTAAATGGGCCGCTCTGTTCCAGTCTCAGCTACTAACCCCCTGTTCCTCCACAGGCCGGCCAGGACCCCACTGTAGCCGTTGCCAAAAGAACCTGTCTTTGCACACTTCGGTGCGGATTCTCTATCTCTTCCTGGCTCTGCTTCTGGTGGCTGTGGCTGTGCTTGCTTCTCTAGGTGAGTTCAGGGCTCCTCTGCTCTGGTCTGGTTGCAATTCACCTGCAAAGACAAGCACTTAGGGTCTGCAGCCCACAATGCAGGGCTGGGACATCCAAATGATTAAAACACACAGTGGAAGCTGATTCCTAATCCCTGACCAGGAATTAGCTGTGTGACCTTGAGCAAAGCTGTGTCCTTCTGAGGACAGCTTCCTGAGATTTCCAGATGGCTGTGTTAGCTACGTGGTACAAGCACCAGGCAAAAACTGCAGGTGCCTGGGCCCCATCCCAGGTAATGAACCAAACCCATACCTTTCAGCTGTCCCAGTGATGCCTTAGGTAGTCAAGGTTGAGGTCAATGCATCAGGCGACCCTGAGCCCCTTCCACAGCCTAGGTGAGTGTTTCTCAAAATGAGGCTGGGAGCATACCTGCATCCAGATCGTCCAGTATTCATTCAGCTGTAAACTCCCGTGAACTATGGGCATCTGGTTTCTGAGAGTGTGGCTGCTGATCCGGGTGAGACATATGGCCAAGTCCAGGAAAGTTCTCCCTTCTGGATGCTCATAAAAGGTGAGCTAGGGCTGGGAAGGTGGCTCAGTGGTAGAGTGCTTGCCTTGCATGCCTGAGGCCCTGAGTTCAATTCCTCAGCACCACATAAGCAAAAAGAAAAAAGCCGGAAGTGGCACTGTGACTCAAGTGGTAGAGCGCTAGCCTTGAGCTGAAGAGCTGAGGGACAGCGCCCAGGCCCAGAGTTCAAGCCCCACGACCGGACCCCTCCCCCCAAAAAAAACAGGTGGGCTAATAAAAACATTTCCCTTTGAAAATGTGTGGTGCCCCATGGTTATCCCATTCTACTCTTTGCCTCTGACTTTGAAAGTCCGGTACTGTAGTTTGGCTTGCTCTAGCCTACCACAGAAGACAGAGGAGGCATGGGGTAGGCAGAGGCAATGCAGGGTCTTGGGGGCCCCTGACCCTGGATGGCAGCCCTGAGAATGAGCACCGAGGAGGGGAGCGGGCTCTGTCCCTCACCAAGGACATTCAGTAAACCAATATACTTGGCTTGAAAGCAGATCTAAAACATAAGGAAAATTGCTGACCAAACACTATATAGTTTGCCATACACAATGAATGGGGTGAATCACATGGAAGGAGCCATTCCCTGCTGCCTGGAAAGTAAACCTTATGAAATGTTATGAAAATAAACCTGGAAGTCTTTTGTCTCTGCTTCTAGTCTCCAACCGGATAGGTGGATTCTTGACTGAGAGGAGGCTCCAGGGAGATATGCCTCTTGTGAACTGTAAAGAGGGAGATCCTTATGCCAGCATGGGGCTGATTATTCCTAAGTGCTCCCACGATGTTACTGTTATTAAGTAAACCTCTGAACTGCTCTGAAACGAGGTCAGCTAGCGCCCAGAGATCCCAACTAACTGGAAGCAATAGCAATTTGGAGCTGATCAGAACCTCAGCTGTCACCTAACTTCACATTGTCATTTAATAAATGATTGATAGATTAACAAATCGAGCTCCAGAAGGGTTAACTAATTTGCCCAAAGTCACCCAATGACTTTACAACAATCTGGGTTGAACACCCGTGTTACTTGGCTCTGTCAGCAGTGCTAAATCCATCCCCTAAATTTGAATTCCAGAGAATCTTTAGGGAGCAGCCTGCACATGCTTAGTTCAACTACCATCCTGCCACGGCCAGAGCCAGGCACCTGCTGCTAAAATACACTCTAGCTCTTGGCCAACAGGATTGCTAGCTGATAAGAGGTACGAAGTGGTATAAGCTTTTCAGAAGCATACCTTGTACCAAGGACTTCAAAACTATTGATGTCCTTAGCACTATTTCTCGCAATTTATCCTAAGAGGAAAAAAAATCATATACATACAAGCGTCCTAAACAGAGGATTATTTCTAGATCAAGTATTATTTGCATTTACATATCAGATTTCATTTATGAACTCAGAAGAGGAGGTGCTTAAGTGTTCCCCCCATTGGAGTATTATTATATAGGGACAAAGACACTGAAAGTAATGATTTTAAAAGAGAGTTAAGCCTTGATGTGAAAATGCACATGACACAATACAAAGAAAAGTAAAGCCAAGCGAAAGAAAACAAGCCGAGATAGTTAGAACATCCCAATTTTGCTTTCATTTTCTCCAAAAGTATATACTTTCTGCAAAAGTATATATCCGTGTAGATACAGGATATAGATACTGTCGATGTTAACATAACTGAAAGATATAAAGAGCAGCAATCTCTGGATGGGTTGTTTTAAGGATAGTTTTCTTCTTTTTTTAATATGTTTTGTGAATTTTCCCTATTTGGTCTTGTCATCAGACATGACATGTGTCAGACTGACGTTAGGCGCATCTGCGTTTAGGACCACTGGGAAGTGGCCTCCTCTTAAGAGTAGATGCATGGTTTGGGTTTGCATGAGGTCTGATAAAAAAATGTCTTCCAAACAAATGACCACTGCTTCTGAATCAAGACCATGCCCTAGATTCTCCTATTTCCTTCCAGTTTTCAGGAAAGTAGACTCTCTCTCAGAAGACATCTCCTTGGCCCAGTCCATTTATGACAAGAAGCTTACGTCGATGCAGGAAAATCTTCAAGGGCTGGGTAAGCATGCTCTGTGCACTGATGAAAGGCTGGTATCCCCCAGAATCGGGCAGGCCCCACACAGCGGCGCCCAGAGCAGGACCTGCTTTACTCACTTTCTAGGCACAGGACGGGGTGGTCCCCACTCAGCTTCCTTCCCTTTCCAGGCAAGCATCGTTCTTCCCGTCTGCCCAGGGCAGAGGATTCCGTGCCAGACATAAATCTAGGCATAGTCTACAGAATCCATTCCCTAAAGATTCCCATGAATGTCAAGTGATTACTTTTTTGTGTATTGGTACTGGGGCTTGAACTCGGGGCTTTGTGCTCTCCCTTGATTTTTTTTTTCTCTAGGCTGGTGCTTTACCTCTTGAGCTATGGCCCCATTTCTGGGCTTGTTGATGATTACTTGGAAATAAGAGTCTCCCTACTTTTCTGCCCGAACTGGCTTTGAACTGCAGTCAGATCGCAGCCTCTTGAATAGCTAGGATGACAAGCATGAGCCACTAGTGCCCAGCTCAAGTGATTGTTGAAGACTTTCCAAAGCCACCAGACAGGCTAACCCCCAACACACTCATCACCACCTGACACTGAGGCGTCTTTGGGTTCGAGGCCCATGATGTGCTCCTACCCTCAAAAGTGGTGAAGATTCTCCTAACACAAGTCATGATGCTCTCTATCCCCCGCCCCAAGCAGGAACATTCTAAGAGAGAACCAATTGAAAGGAGCCAGGACAGAGGGTTTTCAAGTGGTCTGCTTTGCAAGCGCAAAGTCCCAGTGTACCACTTCATGGCCGAGTGACAGCCATTTTTCTCTGTGACATGTTCCTTGGAGCTGTCCTTGAGGTACAGGGTTGGGGTGGAGACAAGGCTACTGAATGTCAGATCCCAAAGACGTAGAGGAAGTGGCGCTGTGGCTCAAGTGGTAGAGCGCTAGCCTTGAGCTGAAGAGCTCAAGGACAGCACCCAGGCCCAGAGTTCAAGCCCCACGACTGACAAAAAGAAAAAAGGAAAAGAAAATGAATAAAGATAGCAGGGCTTTTCCAAGGATTTCATAGTAGGATTTAGGAATGAAATCAGGGCAGGGAGCCTTACTGTGAAATGTTGAATTTAAACAAGTGCCATTAGCCCACGGTTCTTCATTCAGCAACGCAAAATGTCCCCCCTCTTTTTTTTCCCCTGAAGACCCTAAAGTTCTGAACAACTGTTCTGTCTGCCACGAGGCTGGGCAGTTGGGCCAAGAGATTAAGAAGCTGCAGGAAGAGCTGGAGGGACTTCAGAAGCTGCTGCTGGCCCAGGAGGTGCAGCTGGACCAGACCTCGAGGGCCCATGAACTGCTCTCCACCACCAGCAGTCAGATCTCCCAAGAGACGGGTGGTTGCTCCTTCTCTATCCACCAAGTCAATCAGTCTCTGGGGCTCTTCCTGGCCCAGGTGAGGGGTTGGCAGGCCACCACCACGGGCCTAGACCTCTCTCTGAAGGACCTCACTCAGGAGTGCTATGATGCCAAAGCCGCCGTCCACCAGATCAACTACACCGTGGGCCAGACAGCGGAGTGGATCCATGGAATCCAGCGGAAGACGGACGAGGAGACCCTGACCCTCCAGAAGATGGTCACCGACTGGCAGAACTATACTCGTCTCTTTGGAGGCCTGCGCGCCACCTCTGCCAAGACCGGAGAAGCGGTCAAGAGCATCCAGGCCACCCTGGGGGCCTCCTCCCAACGCATCAGCCAGAATGCCGAGAGCATGCACGACCTGGTGCTGCAGGTCATGGGCTTGCAGCTGCAGCTGGACAACGTCTCATCCTCCCTGGACGACCACGAGGAGAACATGCATGACCTGCAGTACCATACCCGCTATGCCCAGAACCGTACCGTGGAGAGGTTTGAGTCCCTGGAAGGACGCATGGCCTCTCACGAGATCGAGATTGGCACCATCTTCACCAACATCAACGCCACGGACAACCACGTGCACAGCATGCTCAAGTACCTGGACGACGTGCGGCTCTCCTGCACGCTGGGCTTCCACACACACGCCGAGGAGCTCTACTACCTGAACAAGTCCGTCTCCCTCATGCTGGGTACCACCGACCTGCTCCGAGAGCATTTCAGCCTGCTCAGTGCCCGGCTGGATTTCAACGTCCGCAACCTCTCCATGATTGTGGAGGAGATGAAGGCCGTGGACACGCAGCACGGAGAAATTCTCCGCAACGTCACCATCCTTCGAGGTAAGAGGCGGAGCTGGCAGGATTGCCACCAAGCCCCCGGGTCCTTGTGGAATCTTATCAGACACACAGCTCCTGTGTGTCTAACATAATCCCATAACAGGATAACAGACATCCTTAAGAAACACCTTGGCAAGGTGTCATGGCCTGTCCTACAAATCGGGGCTTGAACACAAGGGTTGGTTTAATTGGGTCCACAGAGAGAAACAGGAAGACCTAGAAACTGCCTACTCTCCCTTTCTCCCTTTCCACCCCTTCCTTATTCAGGCTCTCATCTGCTCATCCAACCTTATCTGTCCCTCTGGTATGCCCTCTCCTCCTAGCCTCTCTGTGATCCTGCATCTGTCAGAGAGCAAAACCAATAGTGTGTAGGTAGATAGATAAATAGATAGAAAGATAGATAGATATTATAAAGAATGGAACCAGGTCACGTGATTATAAAAAAATAGCAAATCCATTTGCTGAGGAGCTGATGTCTCAGGATAGCAAGCAGGCAGGATTCTCTTACTGAAAGGAGGGTCCCTTTTTTAAAATTCAAGCCTTTAAATGCTTTAATGAGGCTCGCTCATATTAGGAAAGGTGATCTCCTTTATTTAGGCTGTCAATTTAAATATCACACTCATCAAAAAGTGACTCCCACAAACAGCCAGACTGTTTGACCAAGTATCGGCCAAATATCATCCCACACACCAATAAAACTCACACATAAAATTAACCATCGGAAGTCTACCTCTTCTCAGCTCGGCATCTGCACACATCTCCTTAGATCACCATACCCCATCTCTAAATAACACTAAACAACAAGATCATACTTCTACCTAACATGGCACAACTGTCCTGCATACAACCGAAACCACCAAGACTGAACGGCTTCAAGTGATTTTTTTCACTCTTCTCTTTCCAACCCTGAAACACTAGGATTCAAGTCAATAAATCTTATGTTTTCAGGGACACATGATAAGGAAATAAGAGGAGAAACAAAGCCTTTTTGTTGAATTGCACACTGAGATGTATTCATAAAAGTAAGGAGGAAATGCTCTTGGCCATTGCAGTCTTTGCTCTGTGGCACTAGCAGTAATAATTCACATCTACCTCCTCCTCCTACTCATTCCAAATATCCTTTGACCTCAGTGAGCACAGGGGTGTTATAGTTGTTTACCTGTTAGGATGGTTGAAAAAAAAATCTTCCTCTTTAAAGGTTCGGGCCATTATTGTTCATGCCTGGAATGAGTTGCTGAAGGTTTCCCTTGGCCTTCATAACGGGCATAGCAATTCTAAGACGCCCCCTAGGCACTCTCCATCACTGCAGACACACGCACCCTTCCTTGCCTGCATTGGCAAACAGCAGTACACTGTGTCTTTGGTAGCTAGGATCAATCACCCAAGCCAACACATTAATTAATCCCCCCTTTTTTTTCTGTTGACTCAGAGTCATGAGGAGCACAAAGTAGCCAAGTGGCAATCTCCACTTCCTGTTCAATTAGATCATTGTCCTGTCTTCTCCTGGAAGCCTTCCTCCCTTTAGAACAGAAAATCCAGCACAACACCAGCAAGAACAGAAAGCAAAAAAACAAAAACAAAAAGCTCTGGTATGTGGATCATTCGATAAAATAGTAACTGACATCACCCCGTTATCTCCTTTTGATTCCTGAACCTGTAAATTCTGGCTAAAGGAAAACTATCACCATATACTAGATACTGATTCAGCGCTCATGCAGCCACCTGGAGAACCAAATCCAAACCTGTCTGGCTATTGCTCTAACAGTCTCCTAAAGGCCATTCTAGCATTTCCACCTGGTTCAGGTAGTGAATTCCATTCAGGTAGTGAATTTCCAAAGTGTGTGTGTGTGTGTATGTGTGTGTGTGTGTGTGTAAATCCTTGGTCAGAAGTTGACAGATAAGATAAAGCATTGTGTATGTACATGGATTGTAATTTTGATAGATTTCCTAGAGAGAAGGCAAAGCCACATCCAAAGTGGCTACCCCAGTAAGAAGAAAACACTGATCCTTACATGATGACAGCTAGTCAATGCCAACCTTCAAAGTGAATGGCTGATGAGCCTAGGAAAGTGTGCCATGCGGAACTGATCTCTGTTCCGGGCAGAACTGACGGGAGCATGGTTATGATAGCCATGCTGGTCTAGTGAGTGGAATTCCATGGTTCTGATCCGATACAGAACCTCCATCCTTGCCTCCACAGACATTGTTCAAGGGCCCTTGGGCACGGACAGAGTGGCTGAAGAAAGGGGCTGACTGCTATCCATAGAACCAGTCATTCTGTCCACTAGATTACCAGAGAATTCCTTACTGAGGTCACTCTTTGCTGGGCATTCATATGAAGCACAAATAACTTCACAACCTTTCCCATGCAGAGGAATCTATTCACAAACCTCTTCCACAAATGTTCTTGACACCAATTATCTAATCATGTTCCTTTCAAGTCCCTGATCATCCAACCTAACCATCATCCATACCCACGAATCAATGGATAATCCCAAATCCAGCCATTTCTCCTTTCCTCAAAAAGGAACAAAGATCTGTCCACTGGGAGAATTTTCCTTCCCTGCTGTCCTTCAAGGATGTCCCAGAAAGGGGTTATTGGGTGGTAGTGTCTGCAGGTCATTCAGAACCATCTGTAAATCAAGCTCAACTGTTCTCAATCAGAAAACTGTCTATGAGGCTACAGGTGTAGGCTGAAACAATGTAGGCCATCCTGGCTGGCAAGAGTGGGGACCCTGTGCAGCTGAGCCATTTCTTCCTGCAACTTACTGTGCCTCCGGGACTGCTTAGGTCTAATCATATACCCACCACTTCCATTTGATGATGGAGTATCGCTGTGACACCAGGTCCATCCCTTTTTTTTGTTGGTCATGGGGCTTGAACTCTGGGCCTGGGCACTGTCCCTCAGCTCTTCAGCTCAAGGCGAGCGCTCTACCACTTGAGCTACAGCACCACTTCCGGTTTTCTGGTGGTTTATTGGAGATAGGAGTCTCACAGTCTTTTCTGCCTGGGCTGGCTTTGAACTGCGATCCTCAGATCTCAGCCTCCTGAGTAGCTAGGATTACAGGCGTGAGCCACCAGCGCCCGGCTAGGTCCATCCCTTGATAGGCAACAGGTGGCTCAGATTAAGTGGTAAAAGAATGGCCCATGGCTAAATGGATCTATGAGCCCAAGAGCAGACCAAGAACTGTGATCTTCCGAGAATAGTTATTTGCAAAGAACAGCAGGGAATTGCTCCAAAGTCCCAAGGGACTCTGCTGCAGTTCCTGAGCAGCCTGCCTGTCCCATTGCATGATTTGGCATGAGTGGCAGGACAGCCTGCTCAGCAGACTGGACCTGTTACACCGCCTTCTCAGGTCTGGCCCCTCCCTACATAGCAGCTCCTCAGGTCCCATGGTAAGTCAGCTGGAGAAACACAGCGAATAAAGCATGAATGTGTCCCTCCGAAATCCAAAGAGGCTCACTAGGCATTGCACTTCTTTTTTGTTCTTTTAGTTTTTTCGGAGTATCCAGATGAAACAACTTATTATTTCCTCTAGAAGGCAAATTTTAGTAAAACCATACAGTGAACCTCTATAAATTTCAGAGGGGAGGCCTCTGCATTTCCACCAGACTTATTTCTCACCCTCGGATATGCTAATGGCATAGACTCAATAAATCTGGAGGCCTTGCTAGTCCTTCCATTTGGTACAATGTCTTCTACATGATGGACCAGTGTGGTACCTTGTGGAAGAGAGGGGACAGGCTTGGTCCCCACATACTGAGTGATGGTACCCAGCTAGAGAATTGCTGCTCTCCTGAGGTGGCATGTAGATTCTATATGCCAAGCTTGCCAGCTGGAAGCACACTGTTTCTGGTGGTCTTATATGACAGGTATGGACGTAAAGGTAATTTGCCAAACTCATAGCTCTATACCAGGAAACAGTGGGCGCCTTACTTCTTCAAATAATTAAGCAACAGCTGCAGTTGGAGTCCCCACGTGGTTTGGCTTATAGTAACCCACATCACCTCCGCGAACCATCTGTCTTCTGCACAGGCCGTAGAAGAAAGCTGAATTGGGATGTTCGGGGCCTAACCATCCGTGCATGGCTTCTGCCTAGGTCATGTGTTGGTATGAGGCATGGGACAGAGCATGGAGAGGAAACACTGTAAACAGGCCAGGAGCAGAGTCTTGGAGCTTTACATTAGCTACCGTCTTCGCCCGGCAGAGTAGAACAGCGTAAGGCCCCATCAATAGCTGCCTGAACTATGAGCTCAAACATGGTTCAGCCATGTTTCTACTGGTGCCA